TTGGCAATATCTGGTCAAAGATATTGATAAGATTTAAATAATGAAAGTTAATTAACGATGATGTTTTTGAAAGTCATCTGAATACAAATAAAATGAAATCGCGGGGTTACTGAGATCAACCACATATGTTTATCAGAAATTCTCTAATCTGTAGTGCACAATGGTACAGTGGTTGGCTCTTCGGGAAGGTCGTGACTTCGACTCGCTGCCAGATCAGACCAATTCCGTGAATGTTCTTTTGTTAAAGGCTCGGATGCGTTGAAGACTTCATTTTGTGCTGATAGAATAAAAGATAAAACCCATCGTGCTTTAGTTCATTTCAGAATGTCGTATCGATATTAGTATAAAGGAAGATTCCCACTGAAGTGTTGTTTTAGAAAGAACTCGAGCTCGGGGTAAATTATTGACAAACAAGTTGATGAAACAAGAACACCAGTAGTCTCGTTTAAAGTCAACATTTTCGATACGATGGCCTTGTCAGCAAATACAATTTATCAGTGAGTCAAATGCTGACTGACGTTTTTCATACCAATTGTTGGTCCACTATTTATACATTGAATTGACGACGAATTTTTCCGTTACATCCCGATCATGAGAGGGACACATGGCGAGTGTGAACGGTCAGCAGGGGATGCTCACTCATCCATGGCACCTGATCCCACCTCTGATGTTTTGGAGGTCTGTATTTGCTCTATTTTGCATTATTTTATGGACTTTTGATATTGAATACTGCTCGTTATCTCCATATGTTTCATTATTAGAAATTCAAATAATAAGCATGACAACATAAATTCTAATTGAAAAATTCAAGTTTTTTAAAGGATAATACCGATTTATATACTAGTTTACATGTCTGTTATGCAATATACACGTGATAGTTTTTGTTGTTATATTGTGGTTAATATATGTATAGTATACGTGTGTCATAATGATATTGCAATTATATTTGATGTGTTTCTATAAATTTATTAAAGTGTTATTGACTGAGAACACTGTTTCCTTTTTTATGCCACTCGAGACAATCAAGTTACATTTTGCTATATTTCCTCTCGTTGTGTGTTGTTGACGTGCTTTTGAATAATTTCAGCTTCTTCTCAATATCACTAATTTCAACCAAACTTAGCAGCCATGGTCAAAGGGAAAACAAATTGTGAAATTCACGTGTCTGCCACTTTACATGGCGGACCTCAACCTGTCAAAATTAATGTAATCTTCAAAAAGTTGTTTTACTCATACAGTAAAACGCATTTATTCTTTAAAAATTATTTTTTTGGAGGTCTTTATATTCAGCAGAAAACCAAGTGTATGGTTATGATAAACAAGGTGCTTCTTCCAGAATTGTGAAAGAACAAGGTACGGTTTCAATACAAATTTCGCCCTGCGATTGTCTTAAAAATGAAACTGATGTAAAAAATGAAAACTCGTGCTTTCTGAATATCCAATCGTTAAAATTCCATGCAGAAAATTCATGCAACTATTATGTTTCTCACATGCATTTATAAATGGTAATTATGACGTCATAAACATGTGCATTTTTCCGTATTTTCTGAAAAAAGTTGCAGAAGACTCCAATTCTCAATGGAATTTTCTTTTAGATAACATTGTCCACAGGCATCGCCCACAAAAATTTTGAGATGTGTGGTTTTTCATTGCATTTTGTGCAACATATCCAAAAATTAAATTAGGCGACGGCTGTGGACACTTTTTTCTGAACGAAAATTTCCCTTGAAATGGGTCATTTTGAAGCTTTTTCTGTTTAAAATAGAGAAAGGCATCAAATTAATGACGTCATATTTCCAGAATGGTACTCATTCGTGTCATACCGGGTATTCTTTTCTGTTCTATCACAGTCATAAACTCAACTAATTTTTAGGCCAGTTTCAAAACTTTTTGAAAACATATTTTTAGGGCACAATAAAGCTAAAACCATACCTTCTTCTTCATGCATTGTCCATCCTGGGTCATGGATTTAGGGCGAACTGATCATATATACTAGTAGTAAAAAATTATTAATTCTTTCTAAAAATCTCCAATTCCCCTTTGTATTTAGACAACAAACATACATATTGCATGGAAATACTTTTCGTTAAAAAAATGGGAAATTCCGTAAGAAATTGTTTCTCTCACCTTTATTTCTAGAATAGTAATTGTCAGATTGTTAGTGTCATATCGTGTCTCAAAGTTATGAAAATCATTTAGGTGGGACTCTATTAATCATACAGTAAAAATCCTAACCCCTCCTTTTATTAATCTGCAGACAAACTAATTTTAAAATTTTGTTAAAATTTGAGGGTTTTTTGGTCAAAATGTGAACTGTGTTTTTAAAAATACAGGTGTATTAAACTCTCGTCGTATATATTTATAGAAGACAAACTAAGGCCATTCCAAGCCTTTTCTATGTTTAGCGTCCGCGGACGGATTTATTTTGAGGTTAGGAAATTAAAAACAAACACATATCAAAATCAACATAAACAAATCTTTGAAACGCAGATAACTCTTTTGAATTCGACATCTCTATTGTACCAAAACAATTTTGCTTCAAACAACTAATGTATAATTATAAAACTATCAATTATTAATTACTCTCTAATCTCTTACCGACATCGTTCATCACGTGTATTTTCTTTTAAATTTAGGCTGGCTATTTCTAATATTGAAAATAAAGTTTACTTCAATAGTGACATGATAAAATAACGATTCTAATTCTCTGTGTGTATTAAATCGAGAAAAACGCAGTTTATATCGATATAATTTATTTTTGTTGTATTCAGTATGTTTTTCCTGGTTCTAAAATAACAGGTACTGTTGGTTTAGGCTTTTTCAAGTTTTTTCTTAATTTTTTAAGCGTCAACCATAAATTCGAGATCACATCTGTCTATCCAGAAGAAAGAAACACATTTTAAGCACAATTCTAGAATTTCTCATCATCACTTGAGAATTCTATTCACATTGTAACTGAATTAAACTACGTACATGTAAAATTGCAATAGAACCGGACACGTCCATTCATAACTTTTAACTGGACTAAAACTAATGACGTATTTTCCTTAATCAAGTTATAATGTCTCTGAATTTTCTTTTTTAAATATCAAACAGGAAATTAGATTCACAATCTAAATTCAACACTTGGTCAATTATGAATTGCAACGAAAATAATTTTTGCTCTTACGATAGATTATTTTTGCAGCAATCGAAAACTTTTTAGCAAATATACTCTACTTTAGAAATTTTCATTTTTAACAACAACAAAAATCCAGCACGTTAAAATGTGACAAATTGCAATTAAAGTCGTATGACTCAAATCTGAATCGTATTTAACATTCTCGTGTTAATAAACCTGATGCGTGATAAGGTACCCGGAACCGAGGCAGTGCATTGTCAAGACAAACTTTCCCACCAACTTAAGCAGGGGTAATATATACCAAACGTATTATTTTACAAAAATAAGACTCGAGCACCACGAAGCGTGACCCTTCTAAGTGTTATTTTCTATACCGCAAGGTGGCCGCTTTTAAAGGATGAAAAGAGAGAATTCGTGAGAAAGTGTGTTGGAAATCGCTGATTCGAAAAATATGCCCATTTATCAGATTTTCATCGTGAGAAAACCCCGTGTCAATTCCGATCTACGTATATGTATTTATAACATTATGAAAATGGAATATAGAGCTGTAGAGGGGCGATTTTGACTATGACATATGAACCAGGGGGCAAAAGAGGTTTACAATTCATATCTCAAGGAAAAAATCAGCTTCTCTTATCTTATGGTAATGTGACTATAAAATATGCCAAATAGTTGACCAATATTAAAAGCTTGACCACTGTCCATATGTCCGAAATGGATCGACACAGGTGCGAATTCGGGAGATTACTATAATGCTGTTGTCTGTAGGAATGAACTTGGACCTTCTTAATTATTTTCTGCTAATCTCAAGCAGAATCTCCCTAAGTAAACATCATAAACTTGTTTCTTATTGTCGAGAACCTGTTGGTCCGTGCCGTTCCTTACTGGCCGCGGATTTCGGACCTAAAGGAAGATAATCTGGGTTGATTGAAATTTGATTAAACATGTAAATTCATCAATTCACACTTTAATCAAAATGTAAATACGGGTACTAGAAAAGGATTTAAAAACCGCAAGTGCAACTATTATCAGTCGTACTTACAACATAGGGATGAAATGACGTTAATTTTTCAAGAGAACATCTTAAAATCACCAACGCTGCATTTCTCAAATATAGAATTCTTCAATTCGACTAATGACAACTGAAATGAAATACATGCACATCTACCTATATTTTTTTCTAACTTTTTTTTCACATTTATTAATATTTATTTTCACTTTCATTCCAAATGTGGCGCAAAATTTTCTCATGGTACAAGTAATTCAAGCGATAATATGTGTAATTTGTATGCAAATTGTACATAAATGTTTGTTTTCATTATTTGATTGTACCTGACAAGATATTTAACCGGTAGCAGCTGTCCATCTCTAGCGACTTGTGGAGCGATCATTTTTAAAAAGTTTAAATTCTAATCACATTCTTTTTCTATTGACTCGAGGCATTTTCCCACGGCTTGCTAACAATGGTTTAAATTCCTATGCTCGCAAGACAGTCCGAAACTGATAAGGGAGTCGCGAGACGAGCTTTAAACGTCTTTGTGATACCGAGCCGTTTATCGTGGATCATGTTTGCATAGTTGCTCAAGCGTTCCAAACTCTCTGAAGAGGCGGAGTTTTCCCACACTTTGAAACTTACTCTTGGTAATCGCCACGGCACGTGGCTGGCTGTCCTGCACAAACGAAACAACTTTGATTGACATAACGATACACCTTGTACCTCAACCACCTGCAGTCGTCCAATAAAATTCCGCAAGGCACGAGACCGTAACCTTTCACCCCTTTGCAGCGCGTTCTGATTGGTCAGGTGTAATGGATTTTTCACCGTGGGAAAGGTTCGATACATTCCTACACAGATGACACCAGACACATGCCCTGAAGTATAAAACGATCGTGTCAACCGCAATTCCTCTACACTTTTAAATCAAAACTCGAAGAGAACACAGTGAATGCAAAATAGATTTTCAATTTCAAGATGTCAGTAGACACGATGGATAACATTATGTCTAAGGAACACAAAACTTCCTTGAGAAAGGTAAATAAAGCTATATATTATTATTTTATGAAATCCATATTAAAAATGCTTTAATGCTTTATAAAATTACAGTGGAATTTTATTTATTTATTTATTTATTTTACTTGTATTTAGAGTAACAAACCTGTCATGGAAAAGAGAAGACGAGCGAGAATTAACAACTGTTTAACGCAACTGAAATCTTTGGTCCTTGAGTCAATGAGAAAAGACGTAAGTAACTGGTTTCAATATATTTTTCATATTAATCGTTACACAGCATAATTTAAACGGTTTATCATAATTAGTCAGCTTATTTCCGTTATCAGATATATCGATGACAATACCCTTTAACTGATACATTAATTGATAGTTCTACCACAGTGCCTTGATCGTGTCATCCCTATTTAGCATATTTTATTTATGTATCCCTCCCTAGTCCATATCCAACTCCTGCACGAGTCTTCGTCATTGTGTCGTGTGTTGTGATTTGTCTAGAACCTTTATCTTGTCCATGTCTGTCAATATCTCGTCATCGTTTACCTACAGTCAATGCTTGGCATGAGTCTCCATTGTTTCACGAATAGATCCCTCGCATTCTTCTATCTCCTACTTGTCATCAAGTCTAAAATGCCAGTCATGTTGAATGATAAAGCAATGTTTTAAACTATCAATTCTTTTTTACAGAGCTCTCAGTATTCCAAGCTAGAGAAAGCTGATATCCTGGAGATGACCGTAAAACACCTTCGCAATCTCCAAAGGAACCAATTGGCATCCGCCATAGCCTCGGACCCAACAGTCGTCACCAAGTTCCGCGCCGGATTCCACGAGTGTGCCAATGAGGTCATTCGTTACCTTGGAACCGTGCAAAACGTAGGAACTGACGTTAAATCTCGCCTTATTTCGCATCTGTCTTCCTGCATTCAGTCACAGAACACCACATCTTCAGAAAACGTCCCTACGCCATTACCGTCCCGTCAGCCCCAGCAGCACGTTTCTGTGACGTCACCTCAGCCCCAGCATATCAACATCCTTCAGCCACTAAGTGTTCATATCCCCCAGAATGCAAACTTAACCTCCCGACCACAGTCTTCCGAATTTTCATACAATCGTCAAAGTTCACCCCCGTCCCAGAACCAGTCTCCTCAGCTACTGAATATCGCCACCCCAGTGTTGTCCACAGAGTGCAACAACAATTCTCCAATCAAAACGGGCCAAATATCTGGACAATTTCAAATCATTCCTAACAATCTGTACAATGGCCCAGTTGCTGTTTACGTTGGACAGATAAATCAGAGACAATGTGTAACTTCTTCAGACACTCTACCCGTGTTCACGTTACAAGTTCCCGCCAGCAACACGTCTCCTTCATTCCCAGTTACCAGCTCACCAAATGATTTTCAGCAGAAATCCAAACCTTTTGCTCAGCCACACAGAAGTGCTTTTGTAGAGTGCAAACACGAGATCCCCGAGGCCTCGGACAGCCTCTGGAGACCTTGGTGACTGACCAAAGAAAATTAATGTTATCTCAGGACAAGTGTTAATACATGAAACTTTGTGATAGAAATGTGCGCTTCCAAAAACTCTTTATAAATATGTTACAATTGTGTACTTGAAAAGTGCTATTAAATGTTTTATATGCTATTGTTATTGATTCTATTGATTGAATCATTTTATATGACCATTAAAATGTTTAAAATGAAATTTTCTTGTTGAATTGTGTTTATCGAGATACATGTAGTTTTGCGGGAAAAGGGGAATAACTGGCATTGCTATCAGCCACTAATAAAGAAAGCAATTCAAAAGCAGATTTAAATGACATGGCTCTGATACTTATCATGCAACTTGGTGCAACACGGAAAGTTTTCATGATAACTTCCATTAATTTAGTCATGGCAGATCGAGGTTAATCCGGGCACGTCTCCAGGTGTGTCCTAATGACAAGGGGCACCCGTAAATTTGATAGGAAATCTTCGATCCGGTAATTTACGACTTATACTCGAACAAGTTGTCTTGTATCGAATGACATCCTTATCAGGCATGGCCCCATGTCGACATTCGGACCAACAGACTTTCAGCTCTAAAGATTATTCCCGGGTCTTTGTTTAAAATAAACAGTTTATTTATGCTAGAAATTTCTAACGTGTGCTAAGGATAATTTGCGAATTTAAGGAGGAAGAGTAAATATGGAGGACAAAGGGAAGCAATGAGCCCTCATAGTAACCACTATTCTGTGTAAACAGGGAGGGCACTTGTTACGGTGGGTAATATTTGGTCAATGAAAGTGTGACTTCTTAACTCAATAACTCAAGTCAAGTTTAAACTATCAAATTCCAATAAATTATTTATCTTGAAGTCCGGCAAACATCTAGCCAAACATAAAAGAGAGCTGGATCAGTACGAGGGGTGCTTGATCTGATCGCATTTCGTACCCGAACCAATTAGGGGTAATGGATTAGAAACTCTACGAGAGTATAAGGAGGATGCACCAGTACAATAAGCGTCACCACAACGCTTAAAGCGCAAATACAGTCTCAAGTAATTGTCCGTGAAATTGCTGACTTTAGAAAAAGAAAAAATTATGCAAAAAAGACAAAATCAAACTTTTGCTTTTTCCACTCAATAAATAAGTCAGGCAATTTTTTTTACTATCTGTGGCTCTATTGAAAGAAGATCTTAATTTCAAGAAAGTACAAAACAATTACTGGAGTTCAGAATATGTGAAAGGACACGAGAACAAATTAAATAAATCTGTATTGCGGGTAGCAATCCATCAAAAGTGTTGTTTAGGGTTTATTTATTCCTTTTTTGCACTGGCTCTGGCTTTGATTTGCGCTCGTAATTTCGTGCGGGGCTGTAAAGGAAATGATTTACCTGATTTTGTTATATCGTGTAAAAATGATTAACGTAATAATCCTTCGTGAACTTGCCGATTCTTCTGAAAAACGATTCACGGAGAAAAAAAACATTATTCTAAATGAGACATGAAGATTTACGAAGTTTCCCGTACCCGGCAATGAGGGTTATCTGTTAATTTCCCCCAAAGGCGTCGGACCCTACTTTATGCTTTAATTTCTTTTGAAAATGAAAAGTAAACAAACACATAATACACTTAAAATGCATTAAGTATTTTCAAGAAAAGAATGTTGGAAAAGAAAAACAGTCTCTGTTCCTGGCTATTGTTCTCTCTGTCTTTGACAATATGTTTAAAAAATATTGTAATTTCCACGTGCAGCGCACCTGTGAAAGAGGTGAGCGCAAGGGTAGGCATGAAAAGAAAACATGGTCCTCGAGAGTTACTTTCATGTTCTCCTGACCGGATGTAAGCCTTCCCGCGCTATTGTCGTCAGCAATCGGAGCACTTCTGGACACAGATCATAAACATGTATGACTCGGCACACTTTGAGCGTCTGAACACGTGCAGGTTATCCCTCCAGACATTGTCAAATCTATGTTACTTCTCGTTGGTCCTACTTTAACATGCTAGATCTACTTGATAAGGATTATGCACTGCAATTTGCTTGAACAATGGTCTTCCTTTGGCGAGGATTAGTAACTTATGGGTAGATTTCTGTTGGTTTCAGGGAAGCATACTGTGTGCTGGGTATTATCTGCTCGTCCAGACAGTTGATACATGATTATAATTGTTTGGTTGTATCTTTTGGAGGATCACGTCAAACGAAGATAGTTGTCCAAATTTGGTGCAGAGTCACGCTTCTCAGCGTGGTATAAGGATGAACTTTATGGCAATGCAAGGTGCTTTAAAGTTTGACACTATCAACCACTTCAGTATCAGCCCAAACAATACCATTGTGCACATAAACATATAGAGATAACTTTTAAAATATACCAAAAATATAATACTTTAAATCTTACATACAGTGTAGTTATTTTAATATTCGAATAAAATGTGGGAGACAATGATTTAAAATCCCCTTGTGATGAACCGAAATTCCTAAATCACCATAAATTAAAACAACAAAAGTACATTTAAGATAAAGATGTACGATAAAGATAGAAACATTCCTTTGATTATTACGTAAAACCTTTCGGCACTTCTCAAAAGCCTTTTACAGTAATTAGCAAGTTTGATATCGATTATGTGTAGCGGGTCCGCGTGTCATCTTTTGTTTGAAGTCTTAATCTTTTTAACGCTAAGTGTGATTTCTTGCGCTGATACTTAGGTCCGTTATTGCCCCAGGGGATTCCACACACGTCTTAATTTGTCAATTTTGGCAACTACAGACCATTTTCTGTGAACCGTTAAATAGTCCTCTGTCGGGCAGTGTGAAGATGTAGAGAAGTGTTGTTCTCGTCATCAAAGACTTTCCGATCCTTGTGACAAAGAACTGGTCACACTTCATGATGTGCTAATGTGGAATGAAAGACCACGAGAACATCCGAAAAGAAAATAGCACATAATCGTTAATAATGAAATATTTGCAACGTTGCCCGAGCGGAGGAATCTTTGATGACGCGTTTACAACCTGTTGTAAAACTGGCTTTGTGTTTAGGGGGACGTGTTGTTACTTATGAATAAAATGTGTCATTAAGTATCAAAACGGAGAAAAAGATGTAATTACCAAAGAAATACTAGTTCTTTTATTCCTCCGGTCTAAATGCATCTCGACAGGGACAAAGATTTGAGAATAGGCGCTAAAGCCATTGAGGGCCCAAATAAAAGAGTGTGTACCATAATTACAGAGCGCCGAACTAAAGCGTTGTCAAAATATGAATTTTGCCGTCTTAATTGCCTTCGGAAAAGACTTTCGGATGTTTCGAATTATGAGGATTGTCTTTTTATTGCAACAAAATGATTCGAAGGGATTTGAGGGTATTGTCGTTGCGTTTAATTGGAGACCAGCCATATGTTTCTTGATCTAGCTTGTCGGCTAGTTACAGGGGAGCCGTTTGAGCGATCTGTAATTGAATTATAATTACATTTATTGTCAACATAGAATAATTGAGTGGATATCAAAAGTCTATCTAAAAGTGAATAAAGAACCCGTCCCCCAAAAAGTCACTCTTGATCTCGAGCACCCTCTCAGACAATGGGTTCCGGGGGCCCGAACAAAGACCCTGCTATACGACTTACGCTCCGCTCGGCCTTGGTGCGCCTAATTATATTTGTTTGCTCAGTTATACATTGTCATTATAAACAAAATGATAAACTGTAGTCAAAAATGTACCAAGTCAACCTCTCGTTTTGTCACCTGATTTTTCTTTATTAAAAAATATTCCTGACAGGGGAAAGTAATGAACTAATAATGAACATCAATATGTGAACCACAAAGTGGCACAGCCCGAATACAAATTAGTTGTGAGGCAATACGTAACATCCACAAAATGGGTGATTTTTCACATTATTTTATACTCTTTCATGTATACTTTAAGAAAGAGTTACAGTATTTTCTTTTCTGAACTTCTTTTTTTTTTGTTCGTTTCCTTAAGTACATTACAATTAACGTGATTTTATAATAATCACATGCATTTAAATGTAAATAATGTACTTATAATTGAAAAGTGAAATCAAGTGTATAGTTTTACTATTCAATGAAAAACTCCACCTCCTTAGAGTAACCATCTATCGGATACTGTAATAAAGTTATTGTCTAGATTCAATGAAAGAGGACTTCGTGGAGAGATCCAGTGTAAATATCGGGAAAAATATTAATATATGAATTTAAAGTTTGGAAGGTCGATTGATGGATTGATTGTTATTTAACGTCCCTCCCGAGAATTTTTCACTCATACGGAGACGCCACCACTTGCCGGTGAAGAGCTACAAATTTTATCCTATACACGGCACTAAAGGCCATTGAGCAGTGAAGGATCTCTTTCGTGCAAGCACCTACTGCGACATGGGACCTCGGTTTATACGGTCTCGTCCGAAGGACCGGTCTCCATGTCCCACAGTTGGATTCGAACCCGCGACATAATGATCAACTCCTTACTTCGCGACTCAGAGCAGACGCTCTAACCACTGTGCCACGCGGGCGACGTGGAAGGTCGACACTACCGCTATATGAAAAAAAATTTCAGCATATTACCACTACATTTCTTAGAATCCCGGGTGATCATTTCCACTAAATTTTATCGGCACCAATTTTATCAAGAAGACAATTGGCGATTTCAACTCATTGCCGCAACATGTTGCAGTGAATCTGCCAGCAATAGCACAGAATACAAGTTCTATTTAATATCATTCATTTACAATGTAATCTGAGTTTTAATTAATGAATAATTCATTAATACTGTTAACAAAATACTATGTTGTGCTTTATATCAATCTGTACATGCATAAACCGCTGGCTAACGAATGAGGCAATATTGCGGTAAAGTATACTTTTTGTAGCGGCAAGGCGTATATAGCGGTAATGATAATATTTGATTGATTGATTGTATGTTGTTTAACGTCCCTCTCTAGAATTGTTCGTTCATATGGAGACGCCACCACTTGCCGGTGGAGAGCTACAAATTTTTATCTTTACTCAGTACTCGGTACTCAGAGCCAATGAACAGTGAGTGATCTGTTTCATGCCAGCACCTATTGCGACACGGGACCTCACTTTATACGGTCTCATCCGAAAGAACCTGTCTCCACTCCCACAGGACTATTTTGAAAATGTAGCGGTAATGATATGCGTCCAAAAGTTTCTGTGTCCTCTACTTGATTAAAAAAATATTATCCATTTGCAATGTGG